GGGATAAGGGCGTAATTGTGAGGGATAAAAGATGAAGTTTGGGCCTCCGAAGAATTTCCTGAATTATACAAGATTAGGATAACCGTGTAAGTTAACTCAGAAGGGAACTAGGTTTCAATGGACCGACGCTTGTGAACGGAATTTTCCCCGGCCTTAAAGGACAGATTAACTTCAGCACCGGTTCTAACGCTTTCAGAAGGGACCGATGGTTACGTTATCTATTGTGACACTTCAAGAATTGGATTGGGTTGTGTGTTGACGCAGCATGGTAAGGTTGTGGATTATGCTTCTAGACAACTAAGAAAGCACGAAAAGAACTACCCGACCCACGATTTAGAGTTAGCCGCGGTGATTCATGCACTAAATATGGAAGGCACTACTTGTGTGGAATTCATGTTGATATTTATACGGATCATAAGAGCCTCCAGTATATCTTCAAGCAAGAGGAATTGAATCTTCGTCAAAGGAGATGGTTGGAGTTACTTAAAGACTATGACGCTGATATTTTATACCATCGGGGGGAAGGCGAACGTAGTAGCCGACGCCCTCAGCCGTAGATATATGGGTAGCCTGTCGTATTTACGGCCAGAAAAGAGAGGAATAGCCCATGAGGTTCATCAGCTAGCTAGTCTTGGAGTTCAGTTACTGGACTCAGGTGACATTGGAATTACTCTTCAGGATACGGAAACATCCTCTTTAGTAACTGAAGTAAAGGAACGCTAGTACAAGGATGTTGTGTTAGTTCATTATAGGGATACCACCCTTTAGAAGGAGAATACGCCTTTTGAAACTACAGAAGATGGGGTCTTTAGATATCGAGGACGATTATGTGTGTTTAATGTTATAGGGCTGCGTCGGCAGGTTATGGGAGAAACTCACTATTCTTGTTATTCTATCCAGCCAGGAGAGACAAAGATGTATCATGACATCAAGGAAGTATATTGGTGGACGGAATGAAAAAGGATATAGCAGAATTTGTTGCACAGTGTCCTAACTGTCAACAGGTTAAGATTGAGCATCAAAACCCCGGTGGATTGCTGTAGGCGATGGAGATTCCGACTTGGAAATGGGAAATAATCAATATGGACTTCATCATAGGCTTACCTCGTACCCAGCGTAAGTTCGATTCAATATGGGTGATTGTTGATAGGCTTACAAAGTCATCCCAATTTATGCCTGTCAGGACTACATATTCCTCAGAGGATTATGCGAGGCTTTATATCAAGGAGATAGTATGACTGCATGGTGTCCCTGTATCTATTATCTCGGATAGAGAAGCTCAATTTACAGCTAACTTCTGGAGGTCCTTCCAAAAAGCATTGGGGACTCAAGTAAGTCTTAGTATAGAATTTCATCCCCAGACAGACGGACAGGCTAAGCGTACTATTCAAACACTGGAGGATATGTTACGAGCTTGTGTAATAGACTTCAAAGGTAGCTGGGATGATCATCTGCGCATATTGAGTTCGCATATAATAATAGTTACCATTCTAATATTCAGATGGCTCCATACGAAGCTCTTTATGGACGGAAGTGTAGGTCGCCTATAAGGTGGGTCAATGTTAGAGAATCTAAATTACATGGGCCAGACCTTGTTCAGCAGGCCATAGAAAAAGTAAAAGTAAAGCTTATCCGGGATCGACTATTGACAGCTCAGAGTCGTCAGAAGTCATATTCTAACGTGCGGCGACGAGATTTAGAGTTCGGGGTTGATGACTGGGTATTCTTAAAGGTGTCGCCTATGAAGGGTGTGATAAGGTTTGGCAAGAAAAGCAAACTTAGCCCACGGTATATTGGGCCTTATAGGATCATTCGGAGAGTGGGCCAAGTAGCTTATGAGTTAGAATTACCCTCGAAATTGGAGTTTGTCCATTCGGTTTTTCACATATCTATGTTACGGAAGTGCATTGGAGATCCTACCCTAATGGTGCCCATGGATGATGTACAGATTATAGAAGACTTATCATATGAGGAAATTCCGGTTGCCATCCTAGGTCAACAAATCCGCAAGTTACGGAATAAGGAGGTAGCCTCCGTGAAAGTACTTTGGAAAAATAACAATGTGGAAGAAATGACTTGGGAGACCGAGGAAAACATGAAGTCTAGATATCCCTACTTATTTCCTCCTCCAGAGAAGGGTCTGACTGAGACATCATAATCATAAGGTGTGTGTATAAATTCTTGTGTTGGTTATTGTCGTTGATCATGTGAGGCCATTGTCGTTATTGATAATTGTGGTCCGGTATGGCGTTGGATTATTAAGCTTCTACAGGAAGAGTTGGTAGTAGTGTTGTTACAAAGGCGACCCTGCCAAAGTTATATGGATCATGGGGAGTTGAACATTCGAGGACGAATATTTCAAAGGGAGGAAGGATGTTACAGCTCGCGTTTTCGTACGTTAAAATTTCGTTTTCAGTTAACCGACGTAGACTCGGGGATGAGATCATCTTTACGTTAACGTATTTACGCTATTTATAACAAGCGATAAATAAGTGTTATGAAGGATAAAGGGGTACACTGATTAAAGAAAACGAGTTTCGGTGAAAGTGGCCAATTTGAAAAAAAATATGGGTCGAGCAATAATACCAGATAAATATGAACTATTACCATGCAAGGTACTATATGACCACGATAATATAATATATAAAGTATATATGAAGTATTTTAAAAATAAATAGAATTTTAAGTAATTTGTGATAATTTTTAAATTATGCGGGTAATTGATTAATTATCGGGTAACAGGGCATTACCTAATTAACTAATAAGTCGATAAAAAAATTAATAATTAACCACCTTTCCACGTGGCATAAAGCCACCATGGGTAGACATGACTCATAAGTCATTAAATCCATGTGGTTACCTATGAATAACCAAAACCATGACTTAAAGAATAAGTCTTAGAAAGACTTTTCAACATTCTGTCTTAGCTTCAATACACAACTTGGGCTTGAAACCAAGAAAGTGTAAGTCCAAAATCAAGACTTCAAACGATTGGAACAAAGTTAACTTTAAGATTAAATCCATTTATGTCTTTAGTACACAAAAATGTTAGAGAGCAGAATCAAAAAATTCGTCCAAATTTCGTTTCAAGATTTCAAGCGAAAATTTCGTCCATATTTCGCGGAAGCAGATTCGTTCAAATAATTCTAGGAACAGGTATGTTAAGGTCCTCCCTTCTTTCTTTTGGCATGGTCCAATAATATTAAAGAAACGAGAAAACGCACAGTTTCCATAAATTGCTCTATTCATAGAAATAGTAGGGGTGTCTATACTCTTGATTCCCCATGAAAAATATTATTATCTTCTGTCCATGGGTTTCAAAATAATACACAGTTGAAAAAGTTTATCCGGAAGGAATATTGAGATTATTACATATTTTTCATGCATTTCACTCATTTATACATGTGCATTGACCCATGACCAGATGGCGTTATATACGCGTATATACATAAACATCTGTATATGGGATATGGGAAAAGGTTACGGCGTTATATACGCACCACCACCTGATCAGCTGGTATATGATGATGATATTGCCCACAGTGGCTAAAGTATGACTCAGACGACGTTATATATGCGTATATATGTATGTATATGTATATGTATATGGGATATAGGAAGAGGTTATGGCGTTATGTACGCACCACCACCTGATTAGCTGGTATATGTTGATGATGTGCCCATAGTGGCCGAGACGATATGATGGGATGCCCTCGGTGGCTTGATGATATTATGTACATCCATACCTATGCATGGCACGACATTTATACGCATGTGCATGATATTATAAACGTTTTAGAATTTACAGAGTTATTCAGAGTTAAGGTATTTTTGTATTCCATGTTTCATCTATGTCTTTTACGTACTAATTTCCATGCCTTACATACTCAGTATATTTTTCGTACTGACGCCCTATTTCACGGGGCTTGCATTTCATGCCCGCGGGTGCAGGTAGGCAAGCTGACGGTCCCCCTTCTTAGGATCCCTTATCAGCGAGAGTTGGCGTGCTCAGCGAGAGTTAGCGAGCTCNATAGCAGCCTTGCCGGCTCGCCCACTGTATTCTACATGTATACGTACATATGCCTTGATGGCAGATTTCCTTCACGTATGTTATTTTCGTAATGCATCAGATGTTATTCAGGTTCATATCTTAGACGCATGCCTAGGGGTGTTTGACAGGTAGGACTCAGGCACCCGTCGTGGCCCATCGGTTTGGGTCGTGGCAATAGAGTTAACAGAGGAGGCCACCAAAGCCAACGAAGAACTTCATCTTATGATGGCACTGAACTATGGAGGACACTATGGCATACTAGAAGCAACCAAGAACATTGCCAGTAAAGTAAAGTATGTTCTTCTACAATTGGAGGGTATCGATGACAAATTATTGGAACAAGAACTTGCTACCAAGTGTGCCAAGTTTGCTAAACCCGATTTACTCATAAGAGCTGGTGGAGAACAGAGAATCAGTAATTTTTTAATGTGGCAACTGGCTTACTCTGAATTATACCTCACAAAGACATTATTTCCTGACTTTGGAGAAGAACTAAAGGAAGCCATACTTTCCTTTCAACAAAGACAGACATTTTGGTGGACATACATATTGAAGCATTACTTTCACTCGTATCTCTTCTCTTCTTATTCATATGTTTGGTAATGAAATTTTCGAAGAGCTGCATAAAGAAATCAAAACACTCATGCTTCAATTCATATTTGGCTGATAAATTTTTAAAGGGCGCAGATCATTGACAGTAGCGGCACTTTACATGTTCTTTAGAGCATCACGATAAATTAACACAATTTTATTTTTGCTTGAACCAAACGCCAGAAAGTTGTGTCGAATCAGGATGCTTTTTCTCTACTTCGAAATTTCATTGACGTGTGAACAGCTTTCAGCTGCTAATGTGTTTGTGCTGTGGGGAACTAAGAGGTCTCTTCAAGCGACACAAATTTCAATATATTGAAAGCTAGTTAGATTTTGAAGCTACTCGACAAGCAAAAGGTTTGAACGTACATATGGATATTTAAGAGAACTTTTGAGGTGAAGCAAAAATCAAAGAATCATTGTAAAGTATATACGGCTTCACAGTGTTACTTTTGCTTTGTGCAGTCACAAAGTTCGAGAAGTTTTAGACATCTTTTGTATGCTCTATACCTGTAGAAGAAGGGAAACTTGTTCCTCTTTGAAGGAGAGGAAACGGGAGAATTCTACCAAAGAAACCAACGGAGTCCATGTGCCAAGCAATGAACACAAAGCAGGTTGCAGGAATTCTTCTAAAGCACGTCCGAAGAACCATGTTTGAAGGTAATCTGCCCCGAAAAAATTGGGAGTTCATCTGCACGAGATGTTCCAAAGTCAACATGCTGCCGCTGTAAATTTAACTCTCGTTGAAAAGATTAATCCACGGAGTGGGCTAGACATCAATGGCATAGAGGCAAATGAACAAGAATACGAAGGCAAGATATGTACATCAAATCCTAATCATCAGGATCCATTTCCTCATCCTGTTCCAGGGATGGAATTGCATCAGTTCCATTGTATCCTTCAGATTCTGACTGCCCGTCTAAATCAGTTTCATCTTCTTGAGAGTCAACTTCATCCGCGTTAGTCTCTTGAGTTCTTTCTTGCTGCATCGATCTGGGGCACTCGCCCTGCCCTTCAAACAGATGGAGATTGCTGTTCTTTCCTGAATGCGAAATATCAGTAGCCTTGACAGTTGAACATGAGCATTCTGGAATAGGGTGAGAGAGGAAAAACTTAGTTTTTGATCGATTGGATTCCTGCAAAAGGCCCTCTTCTGCCAGGCTTTTATTGAGGTGTTCTCTGACAGCAAGAGTCCAATTACGAGGTGGATAGTAAAGATGATCGACAGTACTATTAAAGAGCTCCGCAAGATATTTCCTGCATGTACAAAGATAGATTTTAGAAACTAATGGTAAAAAAAATGGATGAGCACCCAAAGAAGGAAAGGACCATCACTGTCGTTAGTCTACCTGTTTGGCCGAAATGTTCTCGCAGATGCCATCTCATAAAGTCGGTGTCCCATCACCAAGCTGGCAAAATCAGGCCCGCTACCATCATTGTCAAAACCAGGAAAAAAAGCTTCAGCTTCCACTGAGACTATGTAATCAAGAGCATCCCATAGCAATCGGTGTGCTTGCTCCCTCTGATCATTGGGAGAAGGTTCTGGTTCCACATCTTTCTCTGCAACCCATCCATACCAGCCTTCTTTTTCATGTCGATAGATAGGTCGATCAGGAGGAGGTGGTAGAGGTCTTGGTCGGGGCCCGGCCTTGTTCCATTCTGCTTTTAGTTGATTTGCGCTTTTTGCGGGTAAAAGCTGATCAGGATCAGGCGGAAGGGGAGTTTCTGGGCCAACTAAAGTGGCTAGCTCTTTTTTGCTGCACAACGCAGTACGATCAACTAAATTGGGGTACATGGCACGTAAAGGAATCATAACTCGTTGTCCGCCAAAGGTTTCAGAACCTGCTAGATAAATTCTTGTTCTAGGTGGGTAACCCATGGCTCGAAGCAGAAGTCCTACCTAAATTTTGCAAAAAAAATGTACAAAGCATTAAGAAATAAAACAAGGACAACCATGCATATTCACAGTTATATTCGGTCTGTAATTACAGAATACGAAGATTAAACAGTTGGTAACTTTGACATAAACACCACATTTACTTCGGCAGAACATCTCAGATATCCCTTATTTTCCTTACTTTTTTAGTAACAGTTTAAATTCATGTAATGACTTCCTCTTTAAACATTTTATTTATGAGAACTTCCTCTTTAAAGGATTGTTTAATAGAAGACAGGAGTAGAAAGCAATAAACATCAGGTCAGTTAGTGAGATAATCTCTTGACAAAAGTGTTATTTACTAACCTACAGAGTACAGACCAGCTTTTCTTTATCTCGCTTTTCTTTTCTTCTAAGGAGAGCAGTTTTGCTATGATGCTCTTAAAGCCTCACCAAATCCACCCACGCCTCTTATCCCCATTGTCCCTTACCCTACACTGCAACACCCAATCAATCTCTTTTTCTCCAATTTGAAGGTAAAATATGTATATTGTTAGTAGATACAACAAATTTGCTTCAAAGAATCATCTTACTACAGGTACCTTCCTATCATTTCCATGTATATAAGAAAAAGAAGCAACTCGGTATGGCATAAATTTGCATCAATTCCATAAAACAAAGAACTTGGGCTTATAACGAGGAACATTAACATCAACCTTCCCAAGGTCAATGAGCAATAAATGGGAGAGAGGGTTTAAATTATCAACAGTTCTTGAGTGAAAATATCTTCAGGAACAGGCTATTGACGACTCAGATATATCTTTTAAGGCAATCTTTATTTGTTCCATGATATAGAAAATAGCTACCAGGTAATGTCCTACCATGTTGAAACTATATCTCATTGGCTAAGCTAACTCAAACAAAAAGAAAAATTAAATAAGTTAAAAACCAGAATCATTATATCTAAGCCCACAAAGTTACACCGAACAGTATGCCCTTCTGTTAAAAGAAAAACTAATTAGCATTTAAAAAACGGAGATGCTAATAGGTATAGAATCAAATAGATGTGTAATAAAATGTACAAATCCCTAATGACATTCTTTATTACGTATTAGTCTTAATGTTATTTTGCTACTTTTGCATACTTCATCGCCCATTGGTTGGCGTATCCACTATATTTGCTTACTCCTTGTGGCTGGAAAGTTGTCTTTTACAACACATCATTATAAACTATATTGATCTTTAAAGTGCATTAATCTCTCATCTCTATATCTCTTCGTACAAGCTAACAAAGAACCCACAACTTGTTCCCAGTTGTGAGAAAAGAGTCCAGGAGCATAAAGTAAACTTTGGAACATGCAGACACTTGGTCTATATTTAGAGAAGTCCGAATGGAGATTAAACTATCAGAGATGGTAACAAAGGGCACCTCATGGATGCTATCAAAAAAGTCTCTGCTTCAAAAGATAACTCTAGAAGCAACATATTGTATACAAGCTCCTTACAATTATGTATTTCCAGCCAGATGAATAAACTGTTTTAAGAGATTTGAAGAGAAAATCCGAAAGTACCTCTTCTGGCATGAGTGGGCACGATCCATTTCTCTTCCGAGCATGTGAATCAACACTAAGTTCTTCACTGATAATTACTTGTTTAATTAACTGGGCCCTCCTGTATTGTATAAGTTCTGTGTGAATATCCTACACCAACAGAAAGCAATAGGTTACAGATCTCGCAACATCAGTTGTTCTTTTAATGAGGAAAAGGCATCATAAGGTCCATTACAACAGATATTTAGAGGCTCAGCAGATTAAGTGCAGCGATACCCTCCCTTGCTTTACTGCTAATACTGCCTCTTTCTCTGCCCTCCTCTTTTTGTTCTTTTTCCTTCTCTTTTCTAGTGCACTCACTTCACAGCTCGGAATTACAATTTACAGTCACAACACATAGTTTCCTTTCGTTTTCATTTTTCTCAGACAATTCAAATGAATGACAACTAGCCATAACTATATTTGGAAAGACAAGTCGAGAAATGAAAGATTATCCATCTATTGCATGTGAGGTCACAAGAATTAGAAAAATCAGACAATAGAATAGAAAGAGTAATTCAGAACTTTTCACCTTATTAACTGACAGTTCGATTTTGAGGAAGAAAAGGATGGTTAGAGGAGGGGCATGGGTAACTTCTTAGTATCGTTACGAAGCAAAGAGGAGTGGGAGTAAAAGTTGAAGATTGCATATGGCATCCTGATTTAGACAGCTTTTGTCAACACCTTCAGAATTGGAGGAAAAGGAAGACGTAGATCTCATGCACTCTCCCTTGTCATACCAAAAAGGATGCGGCAATGATAATCCTTCTGTTTAAGTAAACTTAACAGGTCTTCTTCCCCCTCTCTCAAAACCCTTCCCACTGGTTCAACCAAAAGTTTTTTGTTTTAAGTCTTGGTTGAACTAAACATATTATGCAGAGCAATAAGAATATGCTGCTGATTCTAATCCCAGATCCTCATCAATTAGAGTGTTCTTGGCATCTCAACTATTCTAGAATCCTTGGAACCATCAAATCCTCAAGCAGAATTCTTGCATTTGCCAAGATTGAAAGCTGCTAAATAAGCAAATTCAAGAATACAAGCTAGAGTTGATACTAGCTACAAAGACAAGAGAAAGCACATGACACTTATACTAGTTCTATTTGCACATGTGAGCCAAATAACCTAGCTTTGACATGTATCATCCCCTGTTCTCATCAGTGATACCCCAACCACAAAATTTGAAAACCAATATGGCTATGGTTAATGGTTATAGTACTAAATTCCAGAACAAGTCACCAGAATTTATCAAAATTAATCCATGTTCCAACAGGGATGTCCAGAACATCGACTACTGGTTAGACAAATCCAAGTTCCTACAACACCGATCAGATTAAGACAATTAAAGAAGAGTAACCTGAAAAATTTCAGCACAACCATGATAGGCTAGAGCATCTCTCTTAAGCCCGGGATGATAGGCAAGGTAAGGTTGGCCTGAAGCTTGTAACCTGCAGAAAGAGGAATTAAAAATTTTACCATCTTTTTACAAGAGATTTAAAAACTCTCCCTTCACCACTTGAAAAAAAAAAGCAGCAAGAAGTTGATCAGATGAGCTTCCATTTGACACGTAATTTCATTTTGTTCACTGTTCAGCACCAAGTGCCGGAAATTTGCATTTAGAAAGATACAGTTAAAAAAAAAGTTCAGATCCTTACCTTTCCACCATGAGTTTTCCAAGAGCTACAATTTCTGGGCGAAATTGAAGTGCATGAAATGCCACACGACATCTAAGCCTCTGATACTCAGCCATGCTCGGGGGAAGTGCGGACTGAGAAGAAATTGAACTTGATTAAATAGTCATTGTAGGGCAAGACAAACTAATCATGAGGCAGGTAAATATTAAATAGGGAAAATCGTCATTGATCATGTTAAGTCCAACTCCTCTTAAGAAAGTAAGCATGAAATATTCATAAATTAGAGGTTAAACTGAAGTAAGGCGCAAAGGCAGGACTTCAGAAAGATGTAGGCGGGAAACAATCCATGCTCCAAGGTAATATTACATACTAAAGAAGAAAATACATAGAACCTCCAAGCCAGAATTGAACCCTTTTTTCTCACTAAACACATATACTTTAATCAAACATCTCAACCAGAGCACCCTTTAAGTCTTTGTGGTGATGGATGCTCACTAAACAAATTTTGATTGTTTGTATAGAAGTAACATAGCTCAATTTTTAAACAACGGGTGTTCTAGCACCCAGCACTCTTAAGGTAGGTCCGCCACTGGGAATAACAAGAATCTATTGTTTGTGACGTTAATGATATGAAATGGATGTGGTATGCCCTGTGTCTTCTAAAGCTTTTTCATTACATTAAGACCATACAAAATATCACATATATAAGTAGAGCTGTGCTCCCTTAAATTTTTAAATTTCCGTGTCACCAAGTCTATAAATGTACAATACACTATAATTTTGCAAGGGGTCCAAATATCTTGCTAAATACAACTTTATACACATCTAAGGTCACTGCAACTTGCAAAAACCAAATAGAAGGAAATAATCATACCTCTAGACATCCTCCATCTGTCAATATTAATCCGATGACCTTTGCTTTCTTCAATCTAGGTAAAACTTCAGAAGTATAAAATCTTAGAGCAGCAGAACTTTTGGGCTTGAAAATCTGGTACTCTTTCCGTTTCCTAGCCTCCCTCAAGATAGGTGGCAAACTCTTCACAATGGTGACATCATTTGTTAAGGCTGCTATAAACTGATCCTCATTATAGAGGTATGAAAAACTCTTGAACTTGGAACTGCAAAGTTTAAATGCAAACTTAAAATTCAGGAATGCAAATAAAGCATCAAAAAAGCGTTCCATATCTTCATGTCAAATTAATCAGGACCTGATGCCTTTTGAACGAGTACTTTCTTGAATCTCTGGGATTACAAGGGTGGCATTTAAAAGCCTTGATATGGCGACCAGATCAACAATCTATGAGAAAAGGAAACCTGTTAGGAACTCTTTCCCGAACAATTTGGTGCAGAATAGGAAGAAGACTTTTCAACAATATAATGAGCATACCGAGTTCCTAATCTTCTCAAAACTACCAGAAATTTTTGCATAGATGAAGCCATTGCTGTGTTCAACTGCCACTGAAACCGTGACAAAGGTGGTGAAAAGAAAGAATCAGTTTCAATTGATGATGGAGGTACGTAACATGTAGTTGCAACAAAATACAATTAACTTTAAATTGGAGAACGCAGCAAGTCAATTTAAATTTTGACATAGCCAGGCCCAGAATCTCCGTCCTTAAAAAGAAGTAACTAAAGTATAGACATGTCTAAACTCTATGCCTCTGCAACCTAGAAAGCAAAAGCAATAGCACGTTAAATTTTTTAGTAACAAATGGTACTCCCTCCATTCCATCTTACATGGCAATTGACATGGCATGTTCTACTGTACACCATTAGGTACTAAGAGAGTAAAGAGTACTTATGATATGTTATACATCTTCAGCTTACGTATCAAAAGTTATTATTTATCTCTTACTTATTTACCAGTTCAAAAAAGTCTTTAGTTATTTCTTAAACAACTACCGTCAATAAAACGGTAGCCTGTTTTTTTTCAAAAATGCTTTCTGAATAAACTACAGCTGCTCTACTACATCATCAGAAGCCATAAGATATGCTCTCTGATACCTTCATATTCTTGCTTTACATAAAATACATTAGATAGCATTATATTCCTTTGTTTCCATGTTTAAATCTTATATGTGCAAGTAAAGTTCAAAAAGAGCACAAAAGGAGGGATTAATAAGAAACAAATATCAAACAGATAATACAGTTAGGAACCTGTGACTAATTCAGAGCAGTAAATAACAAAAATTTCAATGATTACCAGGATATGTACTTCTTGGATTTGCATGAGGGTGCAAGGGCTCCAATGACTTCACATTTCCCCACAACTTGCGAAACCCAGGACCCTAATCAAAGTTTCCAATATGAAAATACAAATACAAGCACAGGGTAATCATACCAACCTAAAAATATGTACCATTGTATTGTCAAAACAAGTAGATACTCTTAAACAACAAACACTACATTCCGGTTAGTAACAGAGAAAACGGATGAAAGTTTCCAATATTTTTGTTTTTATATATTTTCTCTGAGCACTTTTTATTTTGGATGATGGTGATGTCTTGGCGCACCTCGACTATTCCATTGTGTACGTGCTACTTATAAGCACATGTCCCAGATAACTCATAACTCTACCCACCAAGGCTTGTATTTTTTCTAAGCACTTTTGACATTTGGGTGCTTTTTATAGAGAATCATGTCTTTTTTTGGGTAAGATTCCTTACATGGGTATACATCTTTGATCCACCATTTCAATTAAAGTCATTAACTTATATAAAAAATATAAGCATAGGGCAATCAAATCAACATGATAAATGCAGCATTATATAGTTGAATTATGTACATAATTTTAAATGAGAAGAAATAACAAGTAGATGTAAAAAGTAGAAAATTAGAAACTTCAGTTTTTCCCACAATTTACCTTTCTGGTGGCTAAAGTGGGAGTTAAATCCTCAGTGAAAAGGGTAATAGCAGTGTATTGAACAAGATCAGCACTGGACTTGGCAAGAAACAAGTGAACGAGCAATGAAGCGAATGATAACACCAATCCTCCTAGTGCTGCCCATTTTATCTTCGATTTCATCTCTTAATAATTTAATCCAGCAATGCGATAAAATCTCCCCACCGAATCTGCGAACTCAATTTAATAACAGAACAAAAAATCCATATGTTGAGAAGTAGTAATCATAAATTCAGCTGGTGACCGACAGAATTCAGGGGAGTTAGATCAAACACGTGGAGTACACAATGTAAAATTGAGTGGGATAATTGAATCTAGAAATATGGATATAGACTTTAAGAATTTATGAAGGAAGCTTTAATTTGTTTTATTAGATCGAGGAGAAATTGAATAGGAAGATGATCAGATTAGAGGAAAGATAGAGTGAGTAGTGAAGGATGATTCAAAGAAGGGTTTAAGCGGTTTTTGCGAAGATAGCTATTGCCCACAGGGACGGATGCGAGGTAATAAGAGATTTCATTCATTTTCTGGAACGCCACATACACACAGGCATGAGGCGGCACAGCAGGTGAGTTCAGATTTCAGAGGTAGTTCGATTGCGACCCCATAACATTTAAAAAGGACAAAAAATAGCACAAACAAACAAATGTTATAAATATATTATATTATGGATGTTCATTTAGTACTCCATTGTAAATAAGCTTCCTGAAGAAACTTATCCATATAGGACTCCACCGTAAATATGTTTATCTATTTAGTACTATATTGGAAATAAGCTTCCTCAAGAAGCTTATCACTTCGGTACTCAGTTATGGATAAACATTACCTCCGGTAGAAGATTATCCATACCGGGTATAATGAGCTTATCTTTTCAGTACTCGATTATGGATAAACATTACCCCCGGTAGAAGATTATCCATACTGGATATAATAAGCTTATCCATTCAGTACTCCGTTATGGATAAATATTGCTCTCAGTAGAAGATTATCCATATCTGGTACAGCAGCTTGTAGCAGCTTACACAGCAGCTTGTAGTAGCAGCTTACACAGCAGCTTGTAGTATTTTACACTGCAGCTTGTAGTAGCAGCTTACACTGCAGCTTGTAGTAGCAGCTTACAGAGCAGCT